CTCGTCAAAAATAATCAGAAGACTTCTGAATTCGGTGATTGTGGGTCAGCGCTACTCCAATTCTGAAGGACGCCGGTTGACTCGGACGCGGTGTTGTCCAAAAACCGACCCCACCCCAGCAGCAATGAAGAACGCGATTTCTGACAAGTGCCCGAAAACATCGTGCTCCAGGATTTCGATTTCCATTTCTGGATATGTTTGACGAGGCTTGTACGACGACGACGACGACTACTCCTACGACTTCCACGACTACGACTACCCTAAGAGCATTCGCTTGTATAAGACCATGTCTTGGTATGCCTAAAGGGATGACGGGACTGTCGGTCCCTGCTCAAGTGGGGGACGCAGGAAAACGGGGTCGATGGCGCCGACATTGGCGCGTGAGCTACCCGCGCCAAGGTTGCGCGTGAGCGCCCTCGTCTTCAACGTGGCGTGCTGCGCTGGCGGCCCGCGCAAACCACCGCGCAATTTCGCTAGGCCATCTTACAAGAATCTTGCACAAGATCCGTTTTCGATCGTCGCTCCAGTGGCGTCATTTTTTCCTCAGGCAAGCCGCGGAGCAAAGGCTCGAAGCGTCGGTATCGGCGGGCCGACACACGCCTGTCCCGCCGTGCCCGTGGCCAGGCAAAGAGCACGAGGAGCAACAGGGAAATGCTTGATGAGAGAGGCGTCCAGCCACAACAATCAGCAAAGTGGTGGTGTCGGTCTGTCCTCCCGGCTGCGAGCGAGGAAGTCAGAAGGCGGCGGGGCTCTTCAGAAGACTTCAGGCCTTCTGAGAAGTGTCTCACGTTTTCGGGGAAGGCCCAGACAACTCCTCGGAAGGCCAGGGGACCTCCGAGCATTCTGAAAAGGCCTCCTCCTCCTCCTCCGACTCCTCCCCTTCCTCCTCCTCCTCCTCCTCCTCCTCCTCCTCCTCCTCCTCCTCCTCCTCCTCCTCCTCCTCCTCCTCCTCCTCCTCCTCACCCCCCCCTCGCTCGCCGCCGAGACTCGAACGGTATGCCTTCCTGCCCTGCGTCTCTCACCCCACCCTTGCCTGCGCCAACCGCTGCCGTTTTGCCAGCTGGATCCGTGCCCCGCGCCCGCCTCAGACGCGCCGTCAGGCACTACCGTGTTGCATCCCGCCTTGAGAGAGCACTCGCCTTCCACATCTCTCCTCACGTCCATGCCTCTTACTAGTGAGAGGCGCCCAGCCTTATGATGTTCCAGCCTGCTTTAGCCTTAACCACCAGAGGCAGTTTCGAGCACCAAGAAAGTACCGAAATCACCAGAAGCAGTTTCGAGCACCCAGAAAGCACCGAAAGCGGTGGGTTTTCCAGTGTCGGGCCCTGGGAGGCGATACTCATTCGACGCTGCTTCGACACCTCGTCTGGGTGCTCGAGAATTTGTCTCTGGGAGGTGGCCCGCCAGTCCCGCCACACCAGCCCGCAGAGTGGCAGCACGCCGCTCTCGACGAACCAACAACGCACACCCATACCCATAGGGGGTCGGAGAGGGCTATGGGTGCGTGTTGTCGGATGGGCGTCCTCGCTCGAACGGGAGCGTTCCCCAGGGTCCGACAACCCGCACCCATACCCATAGCCAGCCCTCCTCCCAACGACCCCCCTATGGGTATGGGTGTGTGTGTGTGTGCGTGTGTGTGGGTGTGTTGCTCGTTCGTCAGCTCTCTCTCCCCGCGCTTGGGGCCCCCACCGCAGGGGCGCCCCGGCAGGCCGGCCTGGCCGTGGCCGCGGGCGTGGCCCTCGGCCTCCGGGCCGCGGCGCCGGCGCGCCGAGGCCGGCGCGGCTCGCCAGCGCCCGCGCGGGCCAGGAGCGCCCGGCCCCTGGCGCAGCTGAGGCCCGGTGCGGTGGAAGTTCCCCTCCTCGTGCTCCTCCTCCTCCTCCTCCTGCTCCTCTCCTCCTCCTCCTCCCCTCCTCCTCCTCCTCCTCCTCCCCCTCCTCCTCTCCTCCTCCTCCTCCTCCTCCTCCTCCTCCTCCTCCCTCCTCCTCCTCCTCCTGCTCCTCCTCCTCCTCCTCCTCCCTCCTCCTCGCCCTCCTCCTCATCCTCCTCCTCCTCGTCCTCCTCCTCCTCCTCCTCCTCCTCCTCCTCCTCGCGCCCCGTCGGCCCCGTTCTGCACGAACGAGATGGGCATGGAAAGAACGGGTACAATGCGCAACAGCAGTTCCTGTTCATTCTGAACAGGATTCGCTGTTGCGCGCCGCCGCGGCCTGTGTCCATTCGAGACAGGAGGCCGCCTGCCCAACAGCGGCGCTGTTGGCTTGGGACAACATTTGTTGTTGGGCATCGTACCCATTTTTGTCCGTCCCCATTTCGGGCGTCCAAAGAAGTAGGCACGGGATGAATTCGGTATCGTTTAACCAATCCCCATCTCCATCCCCATCCTCTTCGAGACCCCCACCAAAATACCACCCCCTAGTTACTGATGCACCCCTCGAAACCCGAAGGGAACGACTTATATCCCCATCTGGGGGGGTAAATCGGCCAGTAGGACCCAGGCCACGCCGCTGGGGATGGGGATCGGTTAAACGATTGCCAACAACGCAGAGCGGATTTAGTTTGTAAAACGTTAGGATTTCCCCCGGGGTGTCCTGGAGGATTTCGTACCGGATTTCGAGGTGGATTTCGTGCGGATTTTTCGTTGGCCAGGAATGAAGACTAACAAGAATCCACGCGAAATCCACTTCGTGTTTCACTCGCCGTTTCGGGGTCGTGCATTGACAGAAATTCATGCCAAAATCCGCTGCAGCACGTCTGCAAGGTCGGTGCAGTGATCGGTGCGGTCGAAGCGGGCACGGGAAGAAAATCGGCGGCGAGCGAAAGGGCGAACTGTCGGGTTCAAGGTTCGAGGTTTTCGGGCGTCTTCGTCGGTTCTATATACTGAGCAGTTTCTTAGGGTGGAGGGCTAAGGGTGACATCCATATGGGCTTTTGCACCTCGGAGACCAATCCGTCTTGTGACTCACCGCTGGCAAACTCAAGCCTCGAAAATCCATCGAAACGGCATTTCAGATTTCACCCTTTGCCCTCCACCCAGAGAAAAGGCTCCAATATTCAGAGCGTGAATTACCTACCCCGGTTTCGCTTCCAAGCAAAACCAAGTCATACCATACGCTTCATCGTCAAGCGGCCTGACCATACGCCTCCTCGTCAAGGAAGCGAGGGTGGTCAAAAGCGAGGTAGGTTTGTTTGCCCCCTAAATATAGGCTGCGTCCAGGCGCCCCGGGATGCTCGCCAGCAGCTGCGCCTCGCCGAGGGCTCGCCCATGGGTGCCCCGATCGTCCCGAACGGCCGCAGGAGACCCAAGCTCTGACCCGAACACCACATTCGGCGGCGCGCCAGGGGAGGAAGTGAGAAGGAGGAGGTCTTTTCTCAGGAGGGGGAAAAAAAGCAGACACCATGAATCCTCGATTCCCCAGAAAATATATGTGAAAAAATATGGGAAGTGGGGGGTGAAGACAAAAACCCAGAAGATATGGGAAAATATGGGGAATCCTGTTACTTGTGTCTCGTTGTTTGTGTGTCCCAGGGCCCCTTCATTCTCAGAAGGCGGCGGGGCTTTTCAGACGCCCCCTGGCCTTCTGAGCGGTGTTCTGTGTCTCCACGGAAGAGGCTCAGGAAACTCGTCAGAAGGCTGGGGGGTCTCCGAGCCTCCCGAGAAGGCCCGCCCCCTCACGCTTCCCCCATACGGCTCGCCAGCCAGAATGGGTACGACGTCCGGCTCGAAATCAGCAAGATCGGGGGTCCGGGCGGATTCTTCAGATCGGCGCTGGGGCCCCCTGGCGGCGCCTCCGCGCGCCAGGGACGGGGGTCCAGCGCCGATTCGAGACATCAGCGCGGACCTCCGAGCTGTTTTTATGTGTTTGTGCCATTGTTTGTTTCTCGTGTACCTTTACGACCACCCTCTGGGAGCAATCGCTATACTATCCCTGTACCTATATATTTACTCATACCTTTACATATACCTGCACCTACTCATCATAGTGTTATCCGTAAGGGCTTCGCCCCCTGCCGCCGGCCCCCTCTCGGAGAATGGGCCATGGAAGAGCTAAGTCATGAGGCTTCGGCGCTGTCGTGCAGCAGTATCGGAACATCATGCGAGGCCGATTCGCAATCGGCAAAACCAACTGATCACAAGAGGGGTTACCACACAGGGCGATTGGTAAGACGTGTATGGTTTACAAGCTTGGTTACCACACCTTGGGATTAAAGGGCCGAGGGAGTACTCGCAGTTTGGGTTACCACGCCTTGCGATGGATGTGCGTGAGGGGTGGCACCGAATTTCAGAAATGTGGCAAATCCCCTGTGTTTTTGGACCCTGACCCCGCGGATCTGCGTGAGGGGTGGCACCGAATTTCAGAAATGTGGCAAATCCCATGTGTTTTTGGACCCTGACCCCGCGGATCTGCGTGAGGGGTGGCACCGAATTTCAGAAATGTGGCAAATCCCATGTGTTTTTGGACCCTGACCCCGCGGATCTGCGTGAGGGGTGGCACCGAATTTCAGAAATGTGGCAAATCCCATGTGTTTTTGGACCCTGACCCCGCGGATCTGCGTGAGGGGTGGCACCGAATTTCAGAAATGTTGCAAATCCCATGTGTTTTTGGACCCTGACCCCGCGGATCTGCGTGAGGGGTGGCACCGAATTTCAGAAATGTGGCAAATCCCCTGTGTTTTTGGACCCTGACCCCGCGGATCTGCGTGAGGGGTGTCGATTTCGAGCCCCCCCAGCAATTCAGACAACGCGCCCAGGGGGTGCTAAAAAATCCTGTTTGGGCCTCCCCCCCCCTCGCGCGGTCAATCAACTAGTTACAGTAACCAGCAAGAAGCAGAACTGTAACACTGGAAACTACAACCTACGACTGGTACAGGAAACTGCGAACCTCGCGCCTACAGCCTGGTGGCCCCACAAGGGGGCCGGCGGATTGGTTATACATGCACCTACACGATCGATATCACTGCGATCTCACCCCCTCCTCACCTCCGATCTTGTTCTTGTGAGCACGACTCACTTTCGGTGTCGCCGTGGATTGTGTCTATTTGAGAGCCGCTGTCGATTTTGGAGAATATTGTTGTTGACCATTGTGCCCGTGCCTGTCCGTATTTTGGGTTTCTTAATAGGCGTGGGGGGGTACCCTCCCGACGGGGGTCAACCTCGCCTCGTCGTCGCGCCGCGACGGGGGTCGGAGCGCCTTCGGCGCGACATGGCTGCCCGCGACGGGCGTCGATGTGGAGCTGTCGGCAAGCCCCCCCGACGGTTATTCAGAAACTCGGAGTACCCATTTCGGGCGTCCACAAGAGGCAGGCCAGGGAGAGCGGGGCCAGCCTCGTCACGGAGGAGCTGCGGGCTCCTGCGAGCGACCCGTGCAGCTATCGCCGAGGAAGGCGAAGGCGGTACAGACATAAATGTTCGAAGCTCCGCGCGGATTTCGTGGATCGGCGCTGTGGCCCCCCTGGCAGCGCCTCCGGCGCCGAACCTGGCGCGCGGAGCGCGCCAGGGAGGAGAGCCGATCCGCGCGGAGCTCCGAAAGTTGATGTTTATGTTGTTGTTTCTTCCTCAAATATCGGGTGCTCGAGCTGGCGAACGGGCTCCAGGTGCTGCTGGCATCCGACCCTACCGCGGACGCGGCCGGAGCCGCGCTGTGCGTTCGTGCCGGAACTTTCCAGGACCCCGACTCCACGCCTGGGCTGGCGCACTTCCACGAGCACATGCTCTTCCTAGGCACAGAGAAGTACCCGAAGGACGGCGAGTACCAAAAGTATTTAGGGGAGCATGGTGGCAGCTCGAACGCTTTCACACTGCCCGAATATACCACGTACTATTTCCAGGTTGCTTCCGCTCATCTGGGTGGCGCCTTGGACCGCTTCTCACAGTTCTTTGTCGCGCCGACGTTCGACCCGTCTTGTGTGCAGCGCGAGATGAACGCTGTGGATTCAGAAAGCACTAACTATTCCACAGAGGACAACTGGCGGTTTCTGCAGGTGCTGAAGAAGACTGCCTCCGAAAAGCATCCGTTTTACAGGTTCGACGTCGGTAATCTGAAAACTTTGAACAAGACAACGCGCGATGACCTGATCAGTTGGAACCAGCAGTTCTACCAGGCCGGTGCGATGAGGCTCGCCATTGTCGGGAAGGATTCCTTGGATGACCTCGAGCAGCTCACTGTGGAGCAGTTTGGCGCTGTGCGCAAGGGCACTGGAGAGACAGTCGACCCGAAGCAGTCGCTGCCTTGGCCCGAGTCCAGGCTCGGCCGCATCTACTCCTGCGTTCCTCTGAAAGAGTCAAGATCTATCTCGGTCGCTTGGCCGCTGCCCCCCGCCGACGAGCACTTGTTTCGCAAGCCAGAGCTATACATCTCGCACGTCTTGGGACATGAGGGCCCAGGCAGCCTGCACGATGTGCTCAGTGAGAGAGGCTGGGTCGACCAACTGTCCGCTGGCCCGTCGCAGTCTTTCACTGATTCTCAGCTGTTCGCTGTCAATGTCAGTCTTACTCCAGAGGGAGATGCCAACCGGGAAGAGGTGCTGAGTCTTCTCTTCCAGTACGTGGAGCTGTTGAAACAAACAGGGCCACAGGAGGCGATATTCCGCGAGCTCGTTGCATTGCAGGAGATAGCATTCGCGCACAAGGAGGACAGTCCAACCCCAGACAGCTTGGCAACGTCAGCTGCCATGGCACTGCACAAATACCCTCCGCATGAGGTCATCCGCGGTCCTTACGCCATGGACGAGTGGAAGCCAGAGTTGATACGGGAATATCTGTCCACGCTACGTGTCGACAACTGCCTTGTTTTCTTGGCCAGCTCCACATTCAAGGATGAGGTCCAGACCGACATCGGCTTGGCCGACGGGTGGAAGTTGGAGGAGTGGTACCGGGCTCCATTCAAGGAGGAGAGAATCGACGAAGCCAGGCGGAAGCTGTGGGAGACGAGTCCGGAGGAGGGCTCCGGCCTGAACATGCCTGAGCCCAACCTCTTCATCCCCCAGGATTTCACTCTGCGGGGCGCGGCCCACGACGCCGGCAGCAAGCTGCCGATGGAGGCGACGCCGCCCCGGCCGCTCCAGAGCTCGCCGCTGACGCGGCTCTGGCACAAGATGGACACCACGTATAAGACCCCCCGCGAGTACGTGTTGGCTCAGATCCACATGCTTGCCTACGAGGCGGGGCCGCAGGTGGTCTGCATGATGCGCCTGTTCTGCGGCATCGTGTACGACGACCTCAACAGCTTCTCGTACGCGGCCAGCGTGGCGGGCCTCACCTACTCCGTCGACTTCTCGGACAGCCTGTCCCTCTCGGTGAGCGGGTTCAACGACAAGCTGCCGGAGCTTCTGCAGGTGGTGCTGGCCAGGATGGAGGAGATTATCGCCGTGGCGGCTCTGGCTGAGGACGCCCCCGGTGACGTGGACAGCGGGCGAGCAGACGAGATTCTCCAGATGCTCGACATCCAGAGGCAGCTCCTGCTGCAGGACTACTCCAACTTCGTGGTAGAGGAGCCCTGGTCGGTAGGCAGCTACTATGTGTCCCAGATCATGCTGCCAGGCACGTGGCACCTGCTGGATTACATCGCCGTTCTTGAGCAGCCGCCGTCGCTGAGAGCGCTGGCGGACGGTGTGCAAAAAGCGCTCTCCAAGGTGCAGATCGAGATTCTCGTGCACGGGAATGCCTCGGCCGAGGAGGCGGGTCTCGCCGCAGATGCGATCAGTGGTGCGTTCGGATCGATGGGTGCCTCTCTTCTCCCAGAGCTTCCGCGCAGGAAGGTCACGAAGTTGCCTGCAGGTGTGACCACGATCTTCGAGTTCGATCTCGCGGCTGAGAACTCGGCACAGGAGAACTGCTGTACGCAGGCCATCTACCAGGTCGGCAATGGTTGCGAGGACTTCAAGCGTGACGCTTGCCTCGCGTTCGCGTGCCAGGTGGCCACTACGTCCGCGTATCAGCAGTTGCGAACCGAGGAGCAGCTCGGGTACATCGTACAGGCGGGCTGGTGGTCGGAGGCGCACGTTTTGGGCTTCAGCGTCCTTGTTCAGGGCACACGGCTGCCTCCGCCCGAGATCGACGCGCGCATCGAGAGTTGGATGTCGAGTTTTGGGCGCGAGCTGGCCGAAATGTCGGACGATGATTTCTCTCAGATCGTACAGGGCATGATAAGCGAACGCACGCAGCGGTGCGCGCGCCTGTCGCAGGAGACGTCCATACACTGGGCGGAGATACAGCCGCGAAGGTACCAGTTCGACAACCTCCAGCGCAGCGTGCAGGCACTGGAGTCAATGACACGGGCCGACGTCCTGGAATTCTTTGACCAGTACCTCGCGGCGGGCTCCCCGCAGCGCCGCAAGCTGAGCATGCGGGTGTTGGGCACGTCTGCGGGCGCCAGCAGGAGTGAGCCTGACGCTGATGGCGGCAAGGTGCTGACTAGTCTGGAGGATTTCAGGAGTTTCAGAGAGTCCTCGGAAGTCTTCCTCGCGCCAGCTCCACAGGAGGTGCCAGCAGCCTAAGGCTGTCAGAGCGGTAGTATTTCGGGCAGCGGCTTTGAGGAGTTTCAGAGAGTCCTCGGAGGTCTTCCTCGCGCCAGCTCCACAGGAGGTGCCAGCAGCCTAGGGCTGCCAGAGCAGTAGTCTTCCGAGCAGAGGCAACTCAAGCGCGGGTGTTGGCGAAGAGAAGATGGTCCGTGAGATGCCGCTCTGAAACAATACGATGCGGATGGCTGGCTGGGAGGTTCCATGCACTTGTTTCCGAGCACGAGCAGCTGGGCGCTCAGACGCCCAGCCGATGTAGCAGCTGAGCGTTATACCCCCCTCTGGGGCGTTGATAGGAGGGATTGGCCCAAGGGAGAAGATATAGGCACCAGACGTGCAACGCCTTGAAAAAGTCCGGACGGAGGAGTTTCGTCGTTATCGGCCTCCGTGACCTTCAAAAAACAATTCAGGATGAAAAGCGCATGGACCAAGATTATGAAATCGCATGTCCGGGACCACCAGTCCTTTGTTCATCGCCCATCGGGGCCTGAGTGCGGACGCGCGCCACTGGGTGGCCCCGTAATTGTCAAGGGGTCGTGTGCTAACGGACACCCCCCAAATCCCTTGTGCTGGACAGGGGGTCGGGGAGAATGCCTCCCGATTCCCTGTGATGCGCCAGAGATAGTGGGGGTCAGGGTTAGTCGGGTTGGGATGGGAGTGTTAGGGTTAGGCTTATTGGTTTAGGGCGTTAGGGGTAGGGTGTTAAAGTTAGGGTTAGCGTGCTAGGGTTAGGGGTCGGGAGTGCAGGTTCGGGTGGTAGGTCAGGGTGAGGGTGTTCAGGTTATGGTTCGCATCCGGGGGTTATGATTAGGGTGGTAGGGTTAGGGTTAGGGTTGAGGTGTTCGGGTTAGGGTTAGGGGATTATGGTTAGGGTGGTAGGGTTAGGGGGTAGGGTTAGGATTAGGACCTTGGTGTTTTCGTGAGAGTATTCGGGTAAGGATAAGGGGGTTCGGATCAGGGTACTCGGATTAGGGTGTTCGGGTTAGGGTTCGGATAAAGGGGGTTAGGGTTTGAGTTGTACGGTTCAGGCTAGGGTGATAAGGATAGGGTCAGGGGAGTAGTGTTAGGGTGGTAGGGTTTAGGGTAAGGGTGTTAGGGTTAGGATTATAAAGGGGGTTAGCGGGTTAGGGTTAGGGTGGTAGGCTTAGGAGGGTTTGGGTGAGAGTTATGGTTAGAGGGTTGGGGTTACAGGGTTCGGGTCAGGGTTAGGGGTGCAGGATTAGGGTGGTAGGGTTAGGGATCGGGTAAGGGGTTCAGGGTGGTAGGGTTAGGGTCAGGGTGTTAGGGTTAGTGTGATGGGGGTTCGGGTTAGGGTGGTAGGTTAGGGTTAGGGTGTTTGGTTAGAGGTTAGGGGCCGGGGGGTAGGGCTAATGGAGGTCGAGTTAGGATCAGAGTTAGGGTCAGGTGGTTAGGGTTCGGGTTCGGGCATTCGGGGGTTATGGGGCTTCGAGTTAGGATGGTAGGATTCGGGTTTGAGTTGTGTCTAGGGTTAGGGTTAGGGGGGTCGGGTGAGGTGTTAAGGTTAGGGTTAGGGCGTTGGGGGCTTCGGGCTATGGTAGTAGGTTCAGGTTTAGGCTTAGGTTGAGGGTTATGGAGGGGTGGGTTCGGGTAGGGGGTTTGGGGCTAGGTGCTAGAGGGTAGGGATGAGAGATTAGGGTTCGAGCTTAGGGTTATGGCCACTAGCCTCTATCTGAAGCCCGCTGGACGTATCCCACCCACCCATGACCCATTACATACAGGACTCAACGCGTCGAGGACGTCAGCGCGATGCGTCATGCGCAGTACGTACGCAGCGCCTCAACCCGATGCAGCGGCGATGCGGCATGGGATCGAAGCGACCAGTGGGCAGCTCTCCACAGCAGGTTGCCAACGCATTGGCGATGTGCTGCGCAGTTTCGCGCGTTGCTGGGGGGCTATTAGAGACTCCACCCCGCCTCTCTTGCGCCCGTGTCCACTTGGGCTCCTGGGCGGGCTGCTCGCGCAACCCTGGAAAAGCGATGGTCCCTGGTTCACGCCGCCATGACTCGCAAGCGCCCGGCGGCTTTCGGGGCAGCCGACTCTGCTGGTGGCGCGGCGGAGACGGCGGACGAGCGAGGGCGGGCCCCGCGTCGGGTGCAACGGATTCCGGCCGCAGGCATGAGACACCGCATTCTGTTGCAAGGGATTCCGGCCGCATGGGAACAACACCTTTGTTTACAAGGGAAGGGGGGGGCCGAAGGGGCGGCATAAAGGGAGTCCGTAAGGGATCTCAGGGCTTAAATCCCATAGGTTTTGTTAGAGCGAGGCTTAGGGTTATGGTTTAAGGCTAGGGCTAGGGCTGGGGTTAGGGTCAGGGCTAGGGTGGGTGTTTGGATTAGGGTTAGGGGTTGGGGGTTGGGGATTAAGGTTCGGGTCAGGGGGTGGGGGCTAGGGTTCGGGTGTTAAGGTCATGGCTATGGTGGTCGGGTTGAGGTGAGAGCATCAGGGTCAGGGCGTTAGGGTTAGGGCGTCATGGTTAGGGTGTCAGGATTAAGGTTAGGGGGGGTCGGATTAGGGTGGTAGGGTTAGGGCTAGGGTTAGGATTAGGGGGTTAGGGTTAGGGTTAGGGTGGCAGGGTTAAGCTTAGGGTTGAGGGTAAGGTGTTAGGGTCAGGGTTAGGGTGGTAGGGTTAGAGGTAGGGTTAGGGTGAGGGCCAGGGGATGATGATTAGGGTAGCAGGGTTAGGGTTAAGGCGGTTGGGGTTGGAGTTTGGGTTTGGGTTTGGCGGTTCGGATGGGGTTGCCTGGGTTAGAGTTCGGGTTAAGGGGGGCTGGGGGTGTTGGGGTGGTAGAGTTCTGGTTAGGGTGATAGGGAAAGGGTCAGGGATTAGGGTCAGCGTGGTAGAGGTAGCGTTAGGGTTCGGGCGTTAGGGTTAGGGGTCTTGGGGTCTATGGGGTCTAGGGGGTCAGGGCTAGGGCGGTGCGTTTGGAGGGGGGTCAGGGTTAGGGTTCGGGTTAGGGGGTCAGGGTTAAGGCGTTATGCTCAGGGCGTTAGGCTCAGGGTTAGGGTTAGGGTTAGGGCGGCAGGATTGGGGTGGCAGGGATAGGGTTCGGATTAGGGGGTTAGGGTTAAGGCTGGTAGGGTTAGGGTTAGGGTGGTAGGGCTAGCGTCAAGGAGGTTCGGGTTAGGGCGGTATGTTTAGGATCCTTGCGTTAGGGTGGGGGTCAGGGGTGGGGGGTTGGGGTTAGGGTGGCCGGGTCAGGGTCAGGGTCAAGGCTAAGTGGTGAAGGTTCGGGTTCGGGGGTCGGGGGCCTATGGGGATTCAGGGTTTGGATGGTCGGATCAGGGTTCGGGTTCAGTCGAAAGTTAGGGTTATGGGGGGTTAGATTTAGGGTGTGAGAGTTAGGAGTAGGGAGTCGGGGGGGTCGGGTTAGGGTCGCAAGGGTAAGTTTAAGATTAGGATGAGGGGGTTATAAGGGGGGCTACGGGTTAGCGGTTAGGGATTAGAGTTAAGGGGTTAGAGCTCAGGGTTCGGCTTCGGGCCGGGGTTACCGTTAGGGTTCACGGTCGGGTTTTAGTTCGGGTGGGGCTTGGGGTTAGGACAAGGGTAAATGTTAGGGCGGTGCACCTTCCAGATCGCAAGCCGTTGAGCTCACCCCCACCCGCCCTCCCAACACATAAGTGGCACCCCAGCCTCAGCAAGTTCAGCGGATGGACAGGCATTGGGAACCAAAACCGAGCCCACGTGAGCGACGCCGGGGCAGCCCCGGGACCCGAGCGTGCCAGGCGCGCCTGGTGAGCCAGATGCGCCGCGCGCCTCCGCGCGAGCCAGGCGCGCCGCGTGCTCCAACCGCGCCAGGTGCGCCACGTTCGTGGCACGCGCAGGGTGCGCCAGGCGCGCCTGCGCACGTGACAGCACACGTCGGGAATCATGTCGGCCCCCCCTGTCCTTGTCGACAACCAACGCCCACCTTTGTGTCTGGTGGGCCTGCGCACAGCAGGCCACGTGCCACCACCCCCGCCGTCCCTGTCAAAAACCACTTGGCAATGATCGCGGGATGCCGCGCGCGATCCAGATCTAGTCGCAAGGTGCATTTTGTGTTTCGTCAGGGATGGTAGCCCTGCGCACAGCAGGCAATATGCTGACACCCCCGCCGTCCCTGTCCAAAACCAATACAACGTGCTCGCGGGCCTCGCGAACATGACTCCAGATTTTGCCCCGCAGTGCACTTTGCATCTTTTTTGACAGGGGTTGTGGGGGGTGGGGGGGCGCATCGGGTTGTCTGCGCATGCTCCGAATTTGGAGGCAGAGTGCGTTTTGTATTATTTTTGTTGACAGGGATGGTGGTGGAGGGCGAGCATGGTTCCGGGTTGGCTGCCGGTCGCCAGGGGGAAGGAGTGTATATACATAGGGAGCAGCGATTGAGGGTTCGGGTGAGGGCTAGGGCTAGGGGGATCAAGGCTCGGGTTAGGGTGTTCGGTCTGAGGGGTGGGCACCCAGGGCTACGTCGGGTTCTAGAGTAAACAGGGGGAACAGAGGGGGGGGTCAGAATTTCGGAAAGAGCGTGTTCTACCGCTGCTGGCGGAAAATTAGGGGGGGTCGCTACCGGTTCGAACCCCGCCCCCCCGGAGGGGGGGCCCCCTCCGGAAAACCGTGGGGGGTCACTACCGGTTCGAACCCGCCCCCCCCGAGTCCATCATGAAAAGGAGGGAGGGTCACTACCGGTTCGACCCCTCCCCACTCGAAAACCGGGGGGGGTCACTACCGGTTCGACCCCCCCCTCGAAAACCAGGGGGGGTCATTACGGGACGCTGGGACAGCACAGTGGGACAGCGGCGGGGACAGTGGGACAGTAGTGGGTACAGTGGGGACAGTGGGACACTGGTGGGGACCGTGGGGAAAGTGGGGAGAGCGGGACCGTGGTGGGACAATGGCGGGGAGAGTGGGGACATTGACACACTGGTGGGGGCACTGGTGGGGACAGCGGGGACATTGGCGGGAACATGTTACAGTGGGACAGTGGTGGGGACGGTGGTGGTGGGGACAGTGGTGTGGGGACAGTGGGAACATGATGGAAACATTGGGACAGTGGAGGGTACAGTGGTGGTGGCGACTGGTGAGGGCGGTGGCGAGGACGGCGGTGGGACAATGGGACAGAGGTGCAGTGGGGACAGTGGTGGGGACAGCGGGGACCATGGTGGGAACAGTGGGACAGCTCAGTGGGACTGCGCAGGAGACAGTGGGGGCAGCGGGGAAAGTCGGGGCAGTGGTTTGGGACCGTAGAGAAAGTGTGGAGAGTGGAACCCTGGTGGGAGCAGTGGCGGGGACAGTAGGGGCAGTGCGACTGTGGTGGGGGCACTGGTGGGGACAGTAGGGACGGTGGTGG